ACAAAAAATTAGCTGGGCATGGTAGCGCGTGCCTGTAATCCCAGCTAATTTTTTGTATTTTTAGTAGAGACGGGGTTTCACCATGTTGACCAGGATGGTCTCGATCTCTTGACCTCGTGATCCACCCGCCTCGGCCTCCCAAAGTGCTAGGATTACAAGCGTGAGCCACCACGCCCGGCAGTAAATTGACATTCTAACCTATGCCTCAGCATTGTGTGAATAGTCATTGTAAGTCTGTCATCAAGTGTCGGGCTACCTCTGGGCATGGTGAAGTCTAGTTTCTGGACCTGCAGGGCTATGAGGAACAGAATCTAGACTGTGGTATAAGTTTTTTCAAGTAATTCAAATTTATATTAAATGTATATTTTAAAAACCCTTTTGATAATCAGTGTAGTCTTATGGGCAACCTTTTGTTTGCTTCATTATGTATTCCTGTACCCTCCATGAGTGGTGTTAGGAAGACTATCATTAAGCATTACTTTCAACAGTTAGTTGGTAAAGAGCTGATATTCACTCAAGAGCTGATGATTAAAAATAGAAAAACAGTTTTAGGAACTGTGGAGCTTAGAGAGTACAAACACAAGTCATTCTTGCTGCCACTCTCTTGCCCCGTACTCATGTCAGACATTACTCATTGATTACACATCTTCCTGCTGAACCTACAGTGGCTGCAGAATTATTCTTAATAAAATTAATCCAGGAAACCCACAACCAATTGCCTGAATTGACCCATGTGAACAAAAACTCTGCCCTTTCTAGTTTAAATGAGTTGCAAGGAATTCTGGTCATCAAAATTACAGAATTCAGCTGGAAATAACCTAAAGGATGATTTATCTTTTGAGTTTAATGTCGTGGGGGAAGCTAATATGGTCTTTGGCCAAAAGTCTCTGGAAAGTCTGACAGAAATAATGCCAGACTGGATAAATAGACAAATTATCAGGATAGAATTGTCTAGACCACTAATGTATTCACTGTGATGGCTTCAACCAGAACAGAATTTGCAAAGAACGTTAGAGGTCATTTCCAGGCTTCACCTTTCTAGCATTTTCTATTACAGGGTGCATGGTAAATTACTTAATCTCTTTTAATCTTCATGTGAGAAATAATATTCAATTCATAAATTTGAGTCTACCAATTTAGATAACACATACAAAGTGTCTTCTCATAGTGGGTACTCACAGATGTCTGTCCTTTCTTGCTTCTCTTGTTAAATATTAAACACCAAACAGAACCCCTTCTCAGATGTCTCCAGCCTCTACTGGAATATTTAATAGTGACAAGAAACTCATTGTCTCACAAAGTACCCTACCTACCTTTTTTTCCTTTTTCTTTTTCTTTTTTTTGAGATAGAATCTCTCTCTGTCGCCCAGGGTGAAGTGCATTGGCTCAATCTCAGCTCACTACAAACTCTGTCTCCCAGGTTGAGGCGATTCTGCTTCAGCCTCCCAAGTAGTTGAGACTACAGGCATGCACCACCATGCCTGGCTAATTTTTTGTATTTTGTAGAGATGGGGTTTCACCGTGTTGGCCAGGAGCATCTTGATCTCCTAACCTTGTCATCCACCTGCCTTGGCCTCCCAAAGTGCTGGGAATACAGGTGTAAGCCACTGCGCCTGGCCACCACTCCACCTACCTTTTAAGTGCTCTAATTATTTAAAAAAAGTTTATCTTTCTATTTAACTGAATCTGCCACACAGAATATCGCTTTGCTGATGGGGAATCTTTTAGGTATTTGACAAGATTACTCTGCCTTTTCACGTCTTTCATTTTCCAGGTTATGGATCATCAGTTCATTCAACTGTTCCTTAGATGACGTGGTTTTCACTTCCATTATCATGTAAGTTGCCTTTACTTGGATCACTTCTAAATCCATAGGATTAACCTGACCCCTTTTTCTGTTTCTAGTATTAGCTCAAGGAATATTTTTTCAGGAACACCTGCTAACTCTGTTTTATACCATTGCATTTGATCACCAGCACAATGCTAATTCCGAAGATATAACACAGAATTTGTTGTTTTCATATTTAAATTTACAGAAATTATTTAAATTTAATTATTAGCAACATATAACCCCCCGCCCCCACGCCTTGGTTTCGGGGTTTGGTTTCAGGGTGGCTCAGGTGTCTTGAACACATTCGTAATGGAAACTTGATAAACTCCCGTTTTGGGTTCACCCTCTTTTCATGGGCGTGGGGCCAAAGTTTGTCACTTAGATTAGCTAGCTGGCTTGCAAGCTATAATTATCTTCCTCCTCCAATTAAAATCACATTTCTGTATTGCCACATGTAGTTATTGCAAAATCTAGCAATACACCGTGGATTTTTATTTCCCTTTAAGCTGACTTTCCCTGACAGTTCACAGTTTTTCTTCTGTGTTGTTCAACTCTTAGGTGTTGCTGTCATCCCACTGCTGAGCAGGACACAGTCCCCGGTGAAGAGTGATCGGTGGGCACTTTACAATAGTGTTGGTTTTGTTTCCCAGTGTCTCATTTGCTGTATTAGAATGATTAAAACACATTATTATGTTATTATTCCAGATTTGATTAATAGAACTTTGGGTGACTCATATAGTAGAGTCGTACCTATGTGACAGCATAATTGGATCCAAAATGAAAAATTCAATCCACATAGGCTTTTATTTTAAGTTGTACCAGATGACAGGTTTAATTAATAGTTTTCATTGGATTTTAGCCAATCCATTTACCTGAATTTTTCGATCATGTGTTAACAATGTGTAAACCTAATGTTATGTTTCTAAACATCATTTCAACCTACATCTATTTGGCATGCTCAGATTCTGCCAGAAGCTGTGTTAAGTACTAGGGACTTATTTCTGGATGGACAATAATACAAGGCCCAGCCTTTGAGGAGGAATGAGATATACAAATTTGTCTCCTAAAAAGGAAGTGCAGACTACCTGGGTCAAGGAACTTAGGGTTCTTAGCTGATGAAATGAGTACTCGTCTTCTGGGAAGGCACTCCAGAGGGCATGCTCTTTGGTCCTATTCTTGCCGATCCTCTCCCATTTAATACCATACATTGAAATTTTATGTACTTCTCAAGGCTCTGCTCAGATGCCTTTCTGCTGTAAGACTGGTCCTCATACCCTAGCCCGTTTATATTCTCTCCTTCTTCCAAACTTCTATGGCAGGTCACATTATACCTGAAGCAAGGTAAGGTTATTTTCATACCTGACTAGTCTGCTCCCATTTGCTTCCATAGTGCCCAGTCAATATTAGTTTGATTGAGAGAAAACTGTATTATATTTATTTTTAATTTTTATTCCTAACCGCTAGACCACCAAGAAGAGAGAAAAGTATTTTTTTTTTAGATAGAACACCTCTGCTAGTTAGGGAAACAAGTTCTATTTTGATCTAGACTGCCAAGAGTATTACTTTTTCTGACTCAGTATTTTCATGCAAAGCCATTGTTCCATCAGTCATTTTAAGAGAAGTCAGTTTTGTATCTATAGTTAGATGATTGCCTACATACAGAGCACACTTTAATGATGAATTAGAGGATTCCAAGGTTGCCTTTTAAGTGAATATATACAGATACTTTCTTTTCTTATAAATACTGCATAGAAACCAAGTTACTCTATGTTTTGAAAACAACTTCTAGTATTCTTTGGATGTATGGGAAAAAGTCCTCAGGTTAATTTCCTTAAGGAAAAGCATCATAAATTCAAAGACTGCTTGTTGAAACTGAAGATCACTTTCTACTGAGTCACCAGATGTTGAGCAATATGATTTATATCAATATGCCTTGTGAAATTGTCAAGTTAAAGATTGTACATATTAGAGAAGAAAATTTTATGTCCCTGTAGAGTGACAGGTATCTTGAGGTTTTCCTGGAAATATTAATTGAATTCAACAAATATCTCAGTAAAATGCGAACAACTTCTTGATGGATTTTTTAGTCCCAAACAGCTAGCCTAATTCCTTTATTAAGATTTAGGGGGAAGGAAGTAAGTGGAATTCCATTTCATGTGATGCAAGCATATTTGAAATAGAGTAACCAAAACAAATAGATTCAAATGGAATCTATGTAACGCATCCTCTGCCTCCTTTGTGGTGGCCACTGCTCAGCTGCTGTGCCTTGACAAGGTAGAGCTTGTTCGTTCAGTCTTTCCAAAGATAAGTGTTGGAAAATTTGGTAAGAAATCAATAGATAAAAATCCGATGAATATTTCAAGAAAATAATAGAAGAAATATATTGCCACCATTCAGTGTTTGTGCAACAAATGTTTATCGAGTGCTTTCGATGGTACCTAGAGAGTAATAGAGGTGGCCCAGTGCGGTGGCTTATGTGTAATCCCAGCACATTGGGAGACCAAGGTGGACAGATCACTTAATCCCAGCAGAGTAATACAGGCATTATTCCTGCTTTTATTGAATGAATCGTCTAGCATTTGTACATATTTCTTTCTTTTTCCTTTCCTTTTTTTTTTTGAAACAGAGTTTTTTTGCTCTCGTTGCCCAGGCTGGAGTGCAGGGGCACAACCTCCGCCTTCCCATTTCAAGTGATTCTTCTGCCTCAGCCTCCTGAGTAGCTGGGATTACAGTTGCCCCCCACCACACCCGGCTAATTTTTTTGTGTATTTTAGTAGAGACGGGGTTTCCCCATGTTGGCCAGGCTGGTCTTGATCTTCTGACCTCGTGATCCACCCGCCTCAGGCTCCCAAAGTGCTGGGGTTACAGGCGTGAGCCATTGTGTCCGGCTGCATTTGTACATATTCTGTGCACGTAGTCAACAGGTATCGATTGTCTCCTATTCAGTAGGCTATATGTACTGTTTTATGCACTGTACTAGACGGATGCCAGGGCTACAGTGGAGGGCAAAACAGACATGGCCTCTGCCCTTAGGGAGAGTACAGTGGTAGAGACAGACATTTATTTCAATATTCACACAAATAAATGAAGAATTGCAAATTGTGCTAAGAGCTGTGAAGGATAACTACAGTATTCTATGAGAGGGTAGAATAGGAGAACCTGATTTGGTTAATGAGGGGGCATTTGAATTAGGACCTGACTGGTGACTAGGAGTTAGCCTGGCCAAAATGGGGGAGGAGGCTCATTCTAGGTAAAAAGGGAAAGTCTGTGAGAAGCTGCCAGAGTGGGAGGGAGCATCATGTTAGAATTACTTGACTGTAGTAATGCTGTCACTCAGTGTATGTATATCAAAACTTCATATACTGTACACCTTAAATATATCAAAAAATAAACAAGGCCAGTAGGTTTGGTGAAGAGAGAGAGAAGGCACACAACTTGAGAGGGGGAAGAAGGGGCCAGGCCATACCTTGCTGAGTTTTGGCCTTTATTTCAAGGACAATGGGAAGCCTTTGAAGGGTTTTAAGCAATGGAGTGACTAGATCAGCTTTTTTCAAATGATCCCCCCAGCTGTGGTGGAGCGAGTGGAAGGGAGGTGGGTGCAGGTGGAAGCTGTGTGGTCAGCAGGGTGAGAGATATGAATAGTGGCTTGGACGAGGAAGCAAAATGCCAGATATGGCCAGGATATGCTTAGGTACATGTTGAATGAATGAATAAATACATCTAGGGATTCAAGATCATGGAGCTTGACCTAGTTAAAAAGCTACAATTGATGGCTTTTAGACCAACGTTGTTAGAATAATCATTTTTCTTGTATTGTTTGGTTAAAGTTCAATTTGACTAAAATGTAAAAGTAAGTTAAAATAATGCTTTCTTGGCCAGGTGTGGGGGCTCACGCCTGTAATCCCAGCACTTTGGGAGGCCTAGGCGAGTGGATCATGAGGTCAGGAGATCGAGACCATCCTGGCCAATGTGGTGAAACCCCGTCTCTACTAAAAATCCAAAAAAAAAAAAAAAAAAAAAATAGCTGGGCATGGTGGTGCATGCTTGTAGTGCCAGCTACTCAAGAGGCTGAGGCAGGAGAATCGCTTGAACCCAGGAGGTGAAAGTTGCAGTGAACCAAGATCGTGCCACTATACTCCAGCCTGGTGACAAAGCGAGACTCCATCTCAAAATAATAATAATAATGATGATGCTTTCTTATTTGGTGACTTTTTTTTCTGACATAATGAAACAAGTTAAATGACCCATAATGATCCTAAATAGATTTTTAGTTCACAGATAAATTATCATAAAGATATAAGATATTTGGATATATGCGTATAGCAAGTGTTTTATGATACATATTATACATGTTGGGAATGTAGTTTTTATCTGATTAAGTTTTCAGAGTGCCAATGCTTTGGAAAGTGCAGCTAAAATGTCTCCCTCTGGACAAATTGACAAATAATTGTGTAACCTGCTACTTCAGCTTTGTGTCTTCTGTGTTTTAATATTATATTGTCCTTTAACTCCTCAGAAATTATCTCCTCTGTCATGCAACTGTTCCCTGTGTACCCTGCAGGTGACAGATAATCATGATAATGATGACTAAAACTTTCATCAGGTTCTCCTCCCTACTGAGACCTTCCTTTCCCTTGAGCAGTTCTCATCTTCCCGCTGGCCAGCATCCAGTTCTAGCTCCTTCAGCTCTGCAAGCTGTAAAAACACCTTCCAGACTCACAGAGGGGAACTGAGTGAAATTCTCCTAACTTCACATCCCCAGCAGGACTTTTTCTTACCCCCAGCCTCTGAGTAATGACACTGAGAAATGGACTTCATTGTTTTGCTTTCCTGTAACACCACTGCGAGATTCTGATTAGCCTGGATCTAATTCTGCAGTTTTTGTTCCAGGATTATCTCTCTTTATTGGATGCCGATTATATATATTTGTATTTTTTTAATGATAAAATTTTTTGTTATTATTTATCAGCCTACTCAGTCACATATTAGATAAGCTAGTCACGTAGTAGATAAGCTAGGGAACATTAAAATGATCATCCAGAATCGTAAGGCTGTTTAAAATGGGCATCCAGTGAAAACACCATAAAGCACCTTGGGAGGTACTTGTATCCCATGTATAAAATGTAATATACAATGTAAAAACTATATGCAACTTTATCATGTATTTGCCTTTCATTCATAAAAACTGAGGTTATTTTCAATAGACTCTGTAGAGACTTACATATAGTTGGTGCTAAGTAAATGTTTGTTGAAGGAATTGAAGCCCTCCTCACAGAATTGAGAATTCTGGACAGAAATGTAGTTACAATTAAGCTTTAATCAGGCTGCACTTTGACCATGCCCTGTAACCTAAAAATCACATAACCTTAGATACTGACCATTTGCACCCCCATTGTTCCTGTGGATAGGATTTCTAATGTTAGAATCATGAGGCTTTTGTTTAAGAATTGCTTAGGCAGATCCTGAATAACAGTGGAACTGCTAAGGCCAACCAATTTAAAGACTCCCACGGACAAACCAGATGAGCCCGAGAGTACAGTTTCTTCCTCTCCCCGTACGGGGACTTCACCCTGTACTCTTCAACTAATCAGCAATCTCTGCGCTTTGGCTCACTCCAAAACTCTTAAAAACCCTAGCCCCAGAGTCCCCAGGAAGACGGATTTGAGAGGTTCCCCCTTTTCTCCTTGTTTGGCGGACTTACCACTAAACCTCTGTCTCTGTTGCAACCTGGTGCCTCTGGGTATTGACTTGCTGTGAACATCCAGGCAATGAACCTATTATAGTTACAGAATGAATACACAAATAAATGCATATGTGATGCCCCACTGTTATACCTCAACGTGCCAACCGAATGTTGTTAAAAAAATAAAAATTACACTTCAGCATGTCAAAAAAGTATACTTGTGGCTCTGTTTATTTGAAATGTGAAATTGCAGCCCGACGTGATTTCTTTAAAATCCCATGTTGTTTGCAAATGAATGAAATATTTCAAAATGAGTACACTTAGCAGAAACTTGGTAGTGTATATATAACTTCAGGAGATCAGTAAGTGCAAGTCAGTAACTAAAATGACCATATTCTGACCAACCAAGGTCATAGTGACCTGTGTTTACGGTGCTTTAAGGATTTCAAAATGCCAGGCTAATGTGATGATATGTGATCTTATTGTTGTCTTTTTGCACAAGGTGAGTCATCTCAAGTTAAGTAACTTGTTCTGAGTAAGATGATGACTCACTGAGAAAGCCTGAAATACCATCTAAATAGCTTTGATTAGATCCCACTGCTGTCTGTGGACTGTTTTGTCAGGGTGGTTTATTCAGAGGTCTGCTTCTAAATTGTGTATTTGTTCCAAGATTTTGAAGAAAAAGTTGCATTTCATTAAGAATATATACATAGTGAAACAACAGTGACATCTTTTAGCAAGTAAAATTTGCGATGAATTTAATTCTAAAGAAGAGTGGTATGCAGAATTTTTTTTCCTGGAAAGCTTGATGCTCATGTTTTTACAGTCTATGAAGTTAAAATATCTATTCTGAGTTTTGCAAACAATTTATTGCATGTGTGTAAAGCATTGCATTTATTTATAATTCTGATATATTATGCTGATTTGAGAAATAAACCCTAAAATTGTGAATGACAATTCCCGAGTGGTAAAGTTTTTTAAAGTTTATTTTATATGTTCTGTATTGAGTTGTAGAACCCTCCCCCTCAATTTGAGCATGTACATTAATATCAGCAGTTTACACAGGCACTATGGTTTGCACCTGTCATCAGGCATCTGACATTTGACTAAAATGGCAGGAGTCTGAGGTGGGAGAATCACTGGAGCCCAGGAGTTTGAGGCTGCAGTGAACTATTATTGCACCACTGCACTCCAGCCTGGGTGACGGAGCGTGACCCCGTCTCTAAAAAAGCAAATCTTATAGTTCCAAAGTGCTTTATGACTTGTTAAGCTCCTTCACAGATATTGGCTTATTTGATGCTCACAACTTGTGTTAGAGGGAAGAGAAATATTATCCGCCCCCCGCATATGTTGGG